TTAGAAAATACAGTACCTGAATTTTACTTGCATACAGTCAGAAGCACATTTTTTATTTATTTCTAATAAAATAACTGCATTTCTTATTTTATATTTTTTTAATAATGTCTTTTGTACGCTCTGCATGTATAGAAATATATCTCATTATGTATAGCCATGTATACACTCTGCAGCAATGGTCATCTTAAAAAATTGCTCATTGCCACTGAACTTGGATGTTTCTAAAACAATGATGGGGTGATAATGGGTAGAACTATTTCAGAATGTGAGTACTAAAAGGCAATTTCAGTCAGTTTGTATAGCTTAGTTTTCAGAAAGCCTTAGGCATGTTATTGATTAAATTCTCATTTGGAAGAAAGTAGGAGCTTTTATATGCATCTCTAAGTTGGATGGTGGGGTAACTCAAAGGTATTGACTGGCTGTGTGATATACGACGGTCACAGTTGTCTTTTACTCAGAGGAGCACAGAGTGATGCCAGTTGTCATTCTTACTCTGCTGTGTGGCAGCGTAAATAGTCCCCTTTCTAACCAACCTGGTGGGAAAAGTCAATATCCCATCAGCAAAGGAGGTAAACACATCAGGAGCTGTGTCCTCTCTCATCTTCCCCTGCTCTGTATTACTACAGTTCTTTAAATCTCTTCTCCCCAGTCATCAGATGCACTTGTGTCATTCAAATGCATGGTGCTGCAGACACAGCCCTGCCTGCCTCTCCTCCCAGAGCTCCTGGCTCCCATTCTCTTATAATTGAAACTTAAAATTGGCCTCATTACTTCAACGAGGCCCCTCATATTTCTCCTTTTATTTTTTTTTTTTCAGTCCACCCTTTCCTGCCTGACTCTACAAGGGTAATTGCATCTAAGAAATGTTTGAAGCATACTGTCGGAAAGGTTATTGCGTAAAACTGGAGTTTAGATTTAATGTTGGGGGGAGCTGGGAGCTCTGTTAGTGGTATGGCTGGAGCCCTGAATCCTGAATTGGAGCTGTACACGGGCCTGTATTTCTGTTCCCTACTTTCAGCCCTGGTGTATTGTTTGCCTCAATGTTCTAATGATTAATGTGCCTTCCTGCTCTGTTCACATGTGCCAGCTGTTCACATTGATGTATTGCCTTGATCCCTCCTGAGCTCCAGGAAGCTTTGAACTATTTTGGCCTAGTTTCGAGGTATAAGGATGGAATTGTCCACAGTTCTTGGTCAAAAGATCATGGTTTGGCTAATGTGAGCAGTTGCAAATGAGCCCACTTACTGTGGGCTCACTTGCAAAAATACATAAACAAGTGAGAGCTCAGTTTGTGGCAAAGTGGGATTGGTGTTTTTATGGATGTGGTTAAAACAATTTTCAAGGTTCGTTTAATGTAACCCTATATCAAATACTTTCAGAATAGTTAAATGTGTTTATGCCATAGTGACTTCAGACTGTTAATGAGTAGATTCACATAATCAAGCTTTTGTTGTATTGTAGTTTAAGGAAAATCCAATTCTGCTAATAAACTTTTAGTCATTACTATCTGTGTAACAGTAAAAATGTGGTATCTTCAACAAGGCATCTTCCTCTGTTTGCTTACTGCCCTGACACAATACATAACTTCTTCACAACAATGCATGAAAGGTGCTTATCAAAATGCTTTTAATCAATATTCACTTACTCAGGCACCATTAATTGAAATTTTTTATTTAATTTTTAAAGAGTTGATAGCTTCATGCAAAGCAGTTAACTTCA